GCACGCGCGCACGCACGCACGCACGCACGCACGCACCGCACGCACCGCACGCACCGCACGCACCGCGCGCACCGCGCGCACCGCGCGCACCACACGCACACACGCACACACGCACACACGCACACACGCACACACGCACACACGCACACACGCACACACGCACACACGCACACACGCACACACGCACACACGCACACACGCACACACGCACACACGCACACACGCACACACACACACGCACACACGCACACACGCACACACGCACACACGCACACACGCACACACGCACACACGCACACACGCACGCACACACGCACACACGCACACACGCACACACGCACACACGCACACACGCACACACGCACACACGCACACACGCACACACGCACACACGCACACACGCACACACGCACACACGCGCACACGCCCACACGCGCACACGCGCACACGCGCACACACGCGCACACGCGCACACGCGCACACGCGCGCACACGCGCACACGCGCACACGCGCACACGCGCACACGCGCACACGCGCACACGCGCACACGCGCACACGCGCACACGCGCACACGCGCACACGCGCACACGCGCACACGCGCACACGCGCACACGCGCACACGCGCACACGCGCACACGCGCACACGCGCACACGCGCACACGCGCACACGCGCACACGCGCACACGCGCACACGCGCACACGCGCACACGCGCACACGCGCACACGCGCACACGCGCACACGCGCACACGCGCACACGCGCACACGCACAGCACACTCACGCACACGCACACGACACACGCACACGCACACACGCACACACGCACACACACACACGCGCACACACACGCGCACACGCACACACGCGCACACACACGCGCACACACACGCGCACACACACGCGCACACACACGCGCACACACACGCGCACACACACGCGCACACACACGCGCACACACACGCGCACACACACGCGCACACAGACACACACACACACACACACGCACACGCACACGCACACACATATACTGTTGACGTCGCGGCCACGCGCGCAGCGGCGCGGCGTAGAAAGGTCGGGCGAAGAGACGCGAGAAACACACGCGCACACGCACGCGTACCCACCCACCAACCCATGCACCCACACACTCACACACGCGCACACACACACACGCACACACGCATTCACATTCACAACCACAATCACAATCACACACACGCACACCAAGAGCAACAAAAGCAAAGTAGCCTCCATCCTCCTTGCCCTCTGTGGCGCGCCGCCCGAGGTTGGGGAGAAGCGCGGGGAGGCTCACGTGATGATGGGGATGGCGGCCCTGCACTGCGCCGCCGGCGAGGCGACCCCGGGTGGCGCCAGCTGCAGACCAGCCTGGGCCTCCTCTAGTTTCCGTGGCAACTCTGGGGGGAGGGGGGGATATTTGGGTGTCGCGCCATACGGGGGGAAATAAATTTGGGGTTAGCGAGGGCAGCAGAAAGGGGCCCTCAAGGGCCCGGGGGCTGTTAGAGCCCCTGAAGGGGCCCTTGAGGGCCCGAATGGGGCCATTTCCCCCCCCCCCCCCAGGCGTCGCTCCCCATCAATTCGCGCCCAAGGATACAGTCAAGCTGGTGCCTTCTGGGGGTCCGAGGTTCGAGGTGGCCCAGCGCTGGTTTCGGCCAGCAGAGGGCGAGGCTCTGGGTTCGGAAGGCTCGTTTTATTTCAGTTTGCCTGGGAGCCGTTTTCCGAACCCAGGACTGTCAGAAACGCATCCGAGGCCAACAATTACACCAGATGGATCCCAGGAGGGGTGGGTCTGGGGACCGATCTTCAACGGATTTGGTTTCATTCTTCCTCCTGGTCGATTCTTTCGGGTCCCATCCAGTTCGGACCCCCTGGTCGCCTCCAACAGTCAGGACGCTGAAGTAAGGACCACTTTGGGTTCGGAAGGGGCTCGCTGTTCCATAGGCCATTCCGTAGTTGTCCCTCTAGCCTTCCGCGTGCAACCATATTGCTTTGGTGCCAAAACGGAGCTTAATTCCTTATCTAGCGTTCTGTATTGCAGCAGCTTGATTGTAGGCTTGGGGCAGAGGGGATGCACTGATTCGGGGGGACATGCATAATCATAAATTTTCGACGGCCCGTTCGGATCTCTTGGATCTGGACTGGACTTCCTGGCGGCGTATCCGGCGCCGCCCCTGGCGCGCTCCGCTCGCCAGGGAGGGGGGTCCATCGCAGATCCAAGATATCCGCGCGGACCGTCGAACGTTCATGCTTGTGCATTCTTCCCATATTACATTGATCCCCAATTGCCCATTGATCGCCGGCAGGGGTCCGATAGCCCACCCCGCCCAGGACCGTGCGGTTTCGCCATCAGTGCCCATCGCCGATCCATCCACGATCTATCGCCAGTCCCAGGTTGATGATACTCCCCCTGAGTTGTGCCCCTCCCCTGGCGTTTCCATTCGTCGTGGTGGAAAAAATCACGACGGGTTGTGTTTGGCCGATCTCGGCCTCTGGGGCCCTTTTTCTACCGGGCCCTGGGGCAGTCGAACACAACGAGTCGGAAAAGCAAAAGCCGGCACCAGGGGAAGGGTGCAGACCATCCAGGGGGCCACGTGGGGAGCAGATCACGACGTCGGAAGTCTTGGGCCCCCCATGCTGCCCGGTAGCACGCCTGGGCGGTAGCACGCCTGAGGGCCGTTTTGTCCTGGGGTGGCGTTCGGGCTTGCCACCGCCCAGGAGTCGCCCCCCCCCCCACCGATGGCTTCTCGGTGGCGGCGGTCCACGTTCCTCTGATCATCTGTGCACGTCCCTCGCATGCCAAGCCAGGGCGCATTCGCCAGGTCCGTGCCGCTTCCGTTGCCTGTCTGTCAGAATCGGCCGGTGTCGAAATATTTGCGATCTCGGAGCGCCGCGATGGTCGCAGGATCGGCTCGGCCAGCAGGGGGGGCCCAGGACTTCCGACGTCGTGATCTGCTCCCCACGTGGGGACGCAGACGCCAACGACCCGTTCACTTCCGACCTACGGGTTCGCGTACTCGCGAACCATCCTCTGTCTCCAGCCGATCGTGGTAACGCGACAGGCACCATTCCCACCTCCAGAATTACATCAAGTAACCCCAATTACCAAAGCAGGATTGCGTTTCTGGGCATGGTGGCAGACAGACCATCGGCGTTGGCCATTGGCACCATCATCGACCACATGAGCCGAGAACGACAAGGAGGTCAAACTGGAGGCCCCACGTGGGATCCAGCAGGCTCGGTACCTCATCGAGTGTGGATCAGGGAAGTCCACGCGTGGGTCAGCGTCCATTCTGGACGTATGGCGCCTTCGCAACAGGCTGCCGCGTTGCAGCGTGGATTCCATGGCCTGGCCAGGACTCCGGCCTCGGGAATGTCTCCTTCTGCTATGTGTTGTGGTGCAGGCGTCAACGGGGTACGAACGGATCCTGTAACATATCTGCTACATCATCCAGCACAACGGTTCGAGGCCCTTATAGATGAGAGACAACTCCAACAGGGCCTCGGGTTGATGGACTCTCGGGCGCAGCCGTACGAGCGCATCGACCGCGTCGTTGCCAGATAGGATATCGCCAGGATGGAGGCGGGCACGGCCGGCCTCGGCCTAAACAGCTTCCAGCCATTACTTCCGATTGTTGCGCGAGTTCTACGGATCCCACCAGGGGAAGTAGCATCCTTCTTTCAGCCGTATAGTGGCCGAGTGCCACGCAGTCGGTAGCAGCGTGATGATCGTTTGGGATATTTGCGACGGCGACGACGCAGATCTGATTGTCTGCCAGGGAATGTTGCGCAGTTGATGGGAGGACATTCGAGGGCTGATGTACATGTTACGAAAACGCACATGACACTTTCGCTAGGATCACGCCTTCCTGGCGAGAGCGCTCGGGGTACCTTGTCCACCTGGGCCCCGCCCGCAACTCAGGCCGCGCCACCAAAGACGCTCGCAGCCACGTTGTGCGGGAATCGGACAGATGAGGACGACAGCGGCGCAGACGCGGATATTGCTTCGTCCACGTATGACACGAATTCTACCCCGGACGATCTCGCCGACCTGCCAGAGGACCAGCGCGCCCAGGAGCTATTTTACTTCAAGTAGTGCCACAATGGCCCGTTCGTCGAGCGCGACGTTCTGTAAAGTGCACCCGCAAGGGCACGGGTCGCGGCGGCCGAGGAAGACGGAGACGTCTCACAGCCAAGGGCATCCAGACGCATGTCACAGCCTTCACAGACGACGCACATAAGGAGCTCTGTCTCTGAGGTCGGGGCACGGGCTGAAGCAAGGGCGCGATCAGCGGGCAATGGTAGAGGCCGCTGACAGAACCCGATCGGCAAACATGGCCAGATTACGGAGTGTCATAGTTGCAGCTCGTCGCTACATCTTGCCCTCGCTTGCCCTCGCGCGCCAGGCGCGGCGCCCGCTGCGTCGGGCGCGTTGCTGGCGGGCGTCTTGGAATGCATCGGCCTGCCCGAATGCAATCAACAAGAGCACTTCCATTTCGCCGCGGCAACGGAGGATTGCCGGCACTTGGTCTTTCACGACGCGATGAGCAATGCCCCTCGGACGCAACATATTCCATCAACGACGGGATCGCGGGCGTGCGACCGTCTGCTCGCGGCCCCGATGGCGACCGTTGCCTCTGGCTCGTGCGCGCGCCGCTCGAGCTGGAAGATGCCGAGTGCGAAGCGCCATCTCGAAGGCGCGCTTGTTTGCTGAAGAACGCGTTCATGGCGCGCACTACGAGATAGTGGATGACAGCGGACCTGTTCAGAACGCGCCATCTCCACACCTGCGGGGCGCAGGCTCGACCCCATGCGAGGAGGGGCCCGAGGTCCTTCACATCCGTTGCTCATGCAATTGGCTGCCTCGGCCACGTGCGCGGGGCATGATGTCGCGCGGCCCTTTGCCCGCCGAACATGGCGGGGGGAATGCCGCCTTCATCCAGACGTAGAAGCAGCGCGACATCCAGCTCGCCGCTCATCCACGTGGCTCTGCGACGTCATGCACGACGCCCCGCGCATTGTCGCGCAGGCAAGACGACGGAATATTGCCTTGGGGGGGGAATGTATGATTCGCGGGGAGCACCTGCTACTCGAGCAGGACTGCAGTGAGCTACTCATCTTTGTCCCTGCGCATGGGGGTGGCGACGCGTCCAAGCGAGGCGCGAGAGGGGTCGCGCAGCGGAGGGGCTGCGAGCCGATTCACCCTATAATCAGTCGGATGTTCCGCGTGCGCAGCGCGCGATTCGGTTTGTTTGATATGCTGAACCTTGCGCGGGAGCGATGGATATTTCAATGTGCCGCTGACTCCTGGACAGCATGGCGATCCACGCTTCGACGCAGAACGCGACCCAGATGCTAGTCCTTTCGCAACCGCCCGCGAGTTCCACGTCATAGTGGGCCCCATTCGTACGCGCGGGGATGATTAAAACGATGCCTCGCCTGATTCAATTTCGTCGCGCATAGAGGCCTTCCGCGTCTACGGCGACGACGGCGCCGATTGACGACTGGGGCGCTCCGCAGACGCCGCGCAGTTCTCGGCGGGTTTCCGGGCTTGGAGACAGACCCGGGATGGGCGCGACGAGAGTGCGGGGGTGCTGAAGACGCCAATCGGGATCTTCGATTTGTCCGGCCGAGGGGCGCGCGCGGCCCCGGGCCGGCGCTGGAACGCCCCGCGGCGCAAGCGCGACGGGCATTCCAGCGAATTTGTCAGGGCTGTCACATCTACAGTGATCATGCATTCCCGATTAACCCTGCGCGCCATTGACCTAATCCTCGAAGACCGGCGCCAGGCGCGGACTAGTCCACGCGCGAGCAGGTCTTCTGATGACGGAGAAGAGCATGCCACCACACACAGGATCGACGCAGAGGAGGACGGGGAGAACGACGACGACCAGGGCGCGCCTCGTCCACCGCGAGGGGGCCCAGGAGTTCCTGGCCCAGAATGAAAAGCATGGCACGGCGTAATCAAGAGACGCGGGCGCGCGCGTAGAGGCCGCTCGGCCCGCGCCCCCGAGGCAGAAGATCGCCGCGCCGAGCGACGGCGCCTCGGCGGCGAGCGCACGTCGCGACAGGCGGGTCTATGCCAGCGCCCGCCGCGGGATGATCATCGGGCGGGCTGCGGCGAGCCAGACCGACCGATCGCGGCGCGACCGCTAGGCGACTCCATGCGGAGCGCGCGAGGAGCTGAACCGATCTGAGGGTAACTGCGCTACCCGACTCAATCTTGCGCCAGCGGTTGAAGACCGCCCAGCGCGCGCGCGTTTGCAGGACGGCGGAGCCTGTCGGCATCATCACGGAGGTCAAGCGCCCGCCCCTGCAGCCAGTCACCAGGGGGGGCCA